GTGTGTGTGTGTGTGTGTGTGTGTGTGTGTGTGTGTGTGTGTGTGAGAGGGAGAGAGGGAGTGAGTGTGAGAATGCCTGTGTCTTTGTGACAAATGTACTTGATAATGAGGGTGAGAAGCTGCAGCAATGCCCTGCAGAAACCTGGGGCAGACAGAGATAAAACCAGTACAACCACGCTATCCGCAGTTTCCAAGAGTACCAAAGACCACCACTAGCACCCCAGGGCCACATCTCAAGACCGTCAAGCAGCACCCACCCCAGTCCTCCACCACCACCAACTGAGGTAGATGCACAGGCCAAACAGCAACCGCAGCTCTCCAGCCCTCAGGAAGACCGCCAGTCACCTGCAGCCCAGGAGACCACCACCATCCACCTCCAATTCAAATAGGGAAACGAGACTACAGCAGATCACCCCCACTAAGTAATGGAATTGATAAGTGGGAACCAGAGAGAGACAAATTTATCCAGTTGGTGTTTTGAGGAGGCAGACATTTTCTCCAGACCAATGTGGTCAAGAACTAAATCTTTATATTGAACACATAAGCATCAGGCTTTTCTTGGTGATGCATAAGGAAGTAAGGAGTACACATGATGTATTTGCTTCCATATCTATTTCACTTATGTTAACTATGTTATGTTGCACAGTGAGGTTGAGATATAGCAACTAAACCATGTGGTTAGGTCTTCACATATCTTCTGCAACAACTGTTGGACAGGCATGCAGAACCATATAGTATGCACATAGCTCTCAACAGAGTTGTCTTTGCAATAGGTGCATATGTTCGATTGTGTAAGACCCATTGGGAACAACCTTTGTCCCGTGTAGTGTGTTCTGTAGAGATTATTGTGTAAGTTGTAAGTTGGGGCATTTAGTCATTTTCAAACAATAGCTTATAGCATTTTTGATCACCGTTTGGGTAGGTATTAAAACATTTTGTTACCCAAGTAGGTATTTCTTGATTCAGTTGACCAGGATTGAATGTTTCTTCTATGATGGATTTCAGTTGATGATATTCAAGAATGTCACATTTGCTCAGTCTATGTTTTGATAGTTCTTCAAATGAAATGAATTTTCCATCTTGTATAACACGTTCTAGATTTTTTAAATCCCTTTGTCATACCATGATAAAAAACTTAGTATACCCTTTTTCTGATAAATAACTGGATTGTTCCAAAATAGTGTTAGTTTACATGGAATAAGCGAAGACTTAGTTGTTTTTAGGAATTCCCACCAGGCTGTCAGAGAAGTGTTTATGTTGAGGCTTTTAAAGTAGTTATGCTGCTTAATACTGGAGATGAGGAAGGGCAGATTACAGATTTTTACTTTTGCACAGAATGCTTCTTCTAGGTCCAGTGAATGATTGTCTAATAATTTTATTTTTCAAATTATTTTATTTATACAGCACCAAATCACAACAACAGTTGCTTTAAGGTACTTTATATTGTAAGGTAGACCCTACAATAACTCATACAGAGAAAAACGGCCTTCTGCGATGACCCGTTGGGGTGAGAGAAGGAAGACAGGATAAAGACATGCTGTGGAAAAGAGCCAGAGCATAACTAAGGGAGGATTCAGGGTCACCTGATCCAGCCCTAATTATACGCTTTAGCAAAAAGGAAAGTTTGAAGCCTAATCTTAAAAGTAGAGATAGTGTCTGTCTCCTGAATCCAATGTGGAAGCTGATTCCACAGAAGAGGGGCCTGAAAACTGGAGGCTCTCCCTCCCATTCTACTTTTAAATACTCTAGAAACAACAAGTAACCCTGCAGTGTGAGACCAAAGTGCCTTAATGGGGTGATTTGGTACTATAAGGCAGCTGTTCCCAACCCCCGGGCCAAGGACCGATACCGATCCATGAGTCGTTTGGTACCGGGCCGCAAAAGTTGAGGCTCGAATGTGAAATATATGGTTTTCAGGGTTTTTATCGTTAACTTGGTTTCCCTGGGTCTTTCCCATGTTGTAGTTGTGTGTCTTATTTTGAAAGAAATATTTGCATGTTACCATAGCAACCAGAGAGCATTAAAGGGCAAGAAGAGGATGTTACTCTCAATGTTGTTGCCGCATTTCAGGAGGACGCTGCTAATGGAGTTACACAATTACACAGTGATTTCGCGGTTATTATTATATTTACAAAATACCACAGTTTTTGTCTTGGTCGTATCATTTTATTTTGTTGTAATTATCCGTGACACCTTAAAGGGCGGTCCGTGAAAATATTGTCTGATGCTAAATCTGTCCGTGGCACAAAAAAGGTTGGGGACTGCTGCTATAAGGTCATTAGCCCTTTAAACCCAAACCTGCAGGACACCGGCCCTCGAGGCCTGGAGTTGGACACCCTTGCTAAAAAGGGGTTAGGGTTTAAAGGGTTAAGATAAGATGGGGACTGATTATTCAGGACCTTGTATGTGAGGAGCAGGATTTTGAATTCAGTTCTGGATTTAACAGGGAGCCAATGAAGAGAAGCCAATATAGGAAAAATCTGCTTTTTCTAGTCCCTGTCATCACTCCTGCTGCAACATTTTGCATCAACTGAAGGCTTTTCAGGGAGTTTTTAGGAAATCCTGATAATAATGAATTACAGTAGTCCAACATAGACTTAATAAATGCATGAACTAGTTTTTAGCGTCACTCTGAGACAGGATATTTCTAATTTTAGAGATTTTGCACAAGTGAAAGAAAGTAGTCCTGCATATTTGTTTAATATGTGCATTGAAGGACATGTCCTGGTCAAAAATGACTCCAAGGTTCCTCACAGTGTTACTGGAGGCCAAGGTAATGCCATCAAGAGTAAGAATCTGGTTAGATATCATATTTCTAAGATTAATAATAAGCTTAGTTTTAATCATTTTGAAACTTATATCAATCTTTTGGATTGGATGTAGTGATAAATGTCTGTATTTTAATGTCTGAGTTGGCTGGAAGTTTCACTCACATGTAACTGCTTCACTTCTTGCATGCATTACCTGGCTACAAGCACAAGTTAACTGAGTAGGCTAGTAGCAGGTCAAATTAGCTTAGCCTTAAGAACGATGATGCATCTCCTTTTGTTTGCTGGTAGTATGGTGATGCTTTAGTCTTTAGTCTGGGATGTGATATCCTTCTTTTCCTAAATGGCAAGATTGGAGGGAGGTCTGAAGAGAGCAACAGATACTTTATCCTAATTTGTTCTGCTTCACGCCGTACTAGTTTATTAATCCTTATTCCCGTGGCTGTGATATGAGCAGCTGTTGTGAAGATATGGCAAATAAAATCCTTTTGGCTACAACAGGGGTCGGCAACCTTTCTGATGATGAGTGCCATCTAAAATATTCTCAAAAGCAAATGTGCTATATCAACCGTTGCATAAACAATAAATTTAATAACGCTGCATATCAACAGTTAAACACTATATAGAGCAAGTTTATTGAACTATATTTTTTGACACATGTTGGCAAAGTGCAGATCAGCTATTTTCAAAAAACACGTTTTTATACATAACAAGAACACCAAAGGAAGTATACAACAGAAAATGCAAATGCTATTTAAGGTCTCATCACAACAGTGACACGAAAAAATAAACTGGGCCTATATGACATTGGTTAATACAGGGATGTACATGTTAATGTGAATCCTGCCCCTGCTTTGCATTTGCCGGTTGTGTTATCTGGGGATCACATTTTGTAACTCACACAGGTCTTCAGCAGTCAGACTGCTATGGGAGGCAAAACAAGTCTGTATTTTTTGTCTATCTTTGTGCTTCAATTCAAACTGCAACACTTTTTTCCCCTTTTACACAGAGGGCTGATATCACTGAATTCTAGTGACACCTACTACCTGGAGCCAATCAGCAGTGTAGATCCAGTCTACCACTCACTGTTGAGTACCATGAAGCTGCCAATTAAGGGTGGAAGCTGCTACCACACGCATCACACCACACAGCCCAACCTTATCTCTAATCTGCTCTCATCATTTCATTCAAGGGTGAGTCTTCCAGAAATCAGTGGTACACCTTTTCTAAACCAAATTGGGTTGATTAAGTCAAAAATTAAATTAGGTTTATGTAGACAGATCTGGAACAGAGAAAAATAATGAATTACTCCCCCAAAAGGGAGAAAGCACAACCAGAATATGTGTAGCCAAACAGGATTTAAACCAGAAACCATCTCTCTGTGAGCGAATGTCTAAACCACTCCACCACCATTCAATCTATTTTGTAGCTTTCATGTCTGTGTCAAAGCACTTTCTCTAAAGGTACCACTGGCGTCTATGTTCTCTTGCTAAAAGTATTTACTTATCTGCCTTCACACACGAATGACTTGAGTGACTTGAGTGACATTCTTAATCCATAGGGTCTAATAAAACGTTGGCCATCCCTTTGCAGCTATAACAGATTCAGTTCTTCTAGGAAAGCTTTTTACGAGTTTTAGGGGTGTGACACTGATGTTAGACAATAAGACCTAATTTATTTCAAAGATGTTTCATTGGACTAAGGCCAGGACTCACTGCAGGCAAGTCAAGTTTGTTTGTTTGTTTGTGATGCAACAACAAAGAAAAGAAAAAACACAATCAAACAAAGCATAAGGAAAACAGGGATATTTTAAATGTGATTCTTCCCTCAAATTGTATCCCACATTCCTTTTAGAAAACAGATTTATAATATTGTCAGGAAGGTTGTATATTGCTTAATACATAATTTGTTCAGTGTAAAAATGAACCAGAAACCAAGAAACTTATGTTCATGATCTTTTTCTATTTCCACACCATCTTTGTGAATCTGTGCTTATGAGTTAATTTGAAAATTCCCAAATAACATGATTTTAGTTTTGCTTAGATTCAATGATATTTTGTTCTTGTCAAACCATGTTGTCTTTTTGTACATTTCTAAAGCTACCATGGAGGTGCTGTGTAGCAGTCAGAGGTAGGACTTAAATACAGGACTCCAATGAAACGGTTCAACTGAGAGAGGCAGAGAGGCAGCTTTTATTTGCTGTGGAAAACTTTAAATGGAACTCGGAGACGAGTCACTAATACGAGAAATGTGGAATGCAGAGACCACACCCCCACTGCCCAATAAGGCCGGGGCTCTGGGTCTCTTCCACAGTGTATGTTATGTTTAGTTTTGTCATCCTCCTGTCAGCCCCAACAGGGCAGTTGGCAGCCTTCAACTGCTTGATCATAGGGGGTTAACTGTTGACTGTTGTTGCTATTTCATATAATATAATATAATATATTATATTATATTATATTATAATATAATATATTATATTATATTATAATATAATCATATAAATACAATTGATTGATTCAATATTTTGTTTTTGTTTACTGCTTTAAAGGATCTCTTTTAGTGCTGAGCAGTTATATCTTCATCCAGTGTTTTTCCCATAGTTCACTGTCTAAATATGTATAATATTTTATGTCAAGCCTGTAACAGCCTCTTTACACCTTTTCTGCACATTCGTCCACTCTAATGGACTGACAAGTATGTGTCTCTTAACATTTTAGGTATTCCCTATCTCCTATCTTTGTTTGAGTGTTGTAGCCCATCAGTTTATGGTACTGTATTTATAAACATGTTGCTCCTTCCTTCTTCTCTTTAATGGCAGGTTAAAAGGAATACCTTGGGTACGACTAAGTACATCGAACTGTACATTGTGGCGGATAATACATTGGTAAGATGACTCATCACCTGCCTTATTCATGCCCAAGCCGATTATTCCTGTGCACAGTCAAACTACTACATTTGTCTGCTGAGATCAAACTCACACAGCAGGATGGACACTGTTACATACTAAACAATTATGTAATTCAAGATAATATGGCTCTTTTATATGGACAATTCTAAGCTTATCTAGTAGTTGTACTGAGGCAAAAGTAAGTGGAGTTAGTATTTGTCTGCTTAATGTGGGGATAGATTTGGGTTGAATTGCCAGGTGGACGGACTTTCAAATGGTTGTTCTGCAGTAATTAAATACTATGTCTCAATCGAAGTACACTTTGGGCTCCTGCCACATTTAAGGCGACTGGAACACAATTCATTAAAAAATACTGACAGTATTCTCGCCAGTATTCTTCTTGATGTTTATTAAAGGGAAAAACACATTTTAGTTGTAAACCACCATCAGCATGATGCTTGTTGTTTTAGCTTTTACTAAGATCCAGCAGTGTATACAATGTTCAGAGATTCTAAGTTGGGCAAAGTATTATAAAATATATTTACCAATAAGAAGACTGAAGTCCTCTCCCACTCTAATTGGTATCAGTCGGGATTAATTGTTTCTAAAATGTTTTACATTTTCCCCTCATGGCTAACATTCATTTATGTAATCGTGCAGTTTCAACGGCAGAATCAAGATTATGAAAAGACTAAGGCGAGGATAATGGAAATTGCTAATTATGTGGATAAGGTAAGGATGAGGGCTTCTGCTGTTCACTCCTGTTCTCCAGAGAACAAACAGTTTGATTCAACAAGCTGTTGTTGCTGGGTCCACATATATTTCCTTGTCATGCATTAGTTATCTACTTTGAGATAACTTTTGTTCTAAATCCGTAGTGATTGAAAACACACAAATACAGTACTTAATATGACTTCACCTGTCAGTAGTTTTAATATTGTGACAGTCACTAGTAATAGTTGTTGTTGTTTTTTTTATTTGCCATTTGGAAAAATGTAGAAAATGTAGAAAAATAATATCTGTTGTGTCTATGTTCAGTTCTACAGGGCTCTGAACATCCGTGTGCCTCTCATTGGTCTGGAGGTTTGGACTGAAAGAGATCAGTGCATCATCACCGAGGAGCCAAATGCAACCCTTTGGTCCTTCCTCCAATGGAGACAGAAGCTAAAATCACGCAAGAAGCATGACAATGCCCAGTTGCTTACGTAAGAAACATACCACAGCACTGAGCCAACACCAGACATGTAGAAAACAAAATCATGTTGTTTACATCGGGTCTTTCACCTCTGTCTGAAGTATTTTTGTATTTCAAGCAGGAACTTTAAATCATTTTCATACCTGTTGGAATCAAAATAATATTTTTCTTGTCAGTTCACAGCTACCTTTTCAGTGATCAGTTGGAAACAGAGTGGATATGCCGACTGTGGTTTTTCATTAAAAAAATAGTTATACTATACAGTCAAGGGAAAAATAATGTGTCAAGTATACCCAGTGATTTAACAGTGTGTAAAACCAGTAGCAAGTAGTAACTTGCAGTAATCACTTTCTGAATGACTCTCACATCATTGTGAAGAAATTTTTTACAGACACTCAGGAAGATTGTAATATTTTGTTAACATACCACTGAATGCCAAAAATTCAGCTTCTATCGAGGTGACTACATTTTCTCAAAAAGAATTAATGAAATGATTAGCAGCACCTGGCTGTTACTTATCCTTTAAATTCCTGTGTACTCAGTTTCTCACATATATGCCTCTGCATAAGGTCCCGTGAAAACACATTTTCATGACTTTAGTATACAAATTCAGTATGGCTTCATTGCTGTCTGTGGAATAAATGCTAAATTTATTTTATGAATCCATTCAAGTGGTTTACATAATATACATTTGTTCACTTTTTCATATTCTTAGTGACTTTACATGGACTTGCATGACAGAAAATGTGACCTTTTTTTCATTGACAAGAAGTTTAAAAAAAATATTATTTGTTAAAGGTCTATGAAAGAATGTGTGACTTTCTTTTGTCAAATAAGTCAAGAATTGGGGTGGCTGTGAAACTGATTAGGCTCCAGCGTTTATCTTTTGTTTATCTGAAACTGGGTCACAGTGTCAGCAGACTAAGTGGAGTATTTCCAGCAAGGCTTTACAGTGTTGTGATACAATACTGCAATGGCAGGAAGTAATATCTCTTATTTCAATCACCTGCAAATTATATTTTTAGTATTCTTAGAATTTACTGCTCCTATCACAAGACGACAAAACAAAAAAACAAGAGGAGAAAAACAACATCCAGGACTCAGACTCTGTAGAGGCTCTCTCAGTGAGGCCTGTGATTAAAATCACTGTTATTCTTCATTTTTAATTCAACATATTTATTTTTTATGTATTTTATTTATATTCAACATGCCAGTATTGAGCAATTGAGCCAAGCCAACTTTATTTATAAAGCACTTTAAAAACAGGGAGTACTGACCAAAGTGCTGAACATAATTCAGTTCAATTTAATTTTATTTATACACAACAACAGCAGCCTCAAGGTTCAAGAGAAGTAAGCCAGGGTAAAAGAAATGCTGTGGAAGAGAGCCAAAAGATTAATAAAATATAAGTACTATAAATAAAATACATAGTAAAAAAAAACCAGTAAAATTATAGAACATCAATATCAAAATTAACATTCTAGACTGGGTTTAAAAGCCAAACCGAAAAGGTCGGTCTTTAGACCAGATTAGAAAACGCAAGCAAAACTTTAATCATGATGGAGAGGTGATGGCATCTCTGACCATGTTCAGTCTAATAAATCAGGGAAGTTGAGGTGATCCAGGAGAGAAGGACAATTGCTGCCTAAGCAAAAACCCTTAGTGGTCCCGTACGTGTCAGGAGTATCGGAACAGTTGAGACACATTTTAAAAATTTTCGTTGCCTCATCATAACATTGGTGTAACCTTGGTGTAACACTCCCACTTTCCCATGTGGTTACTTGGGAAAATGAATTACCCATCCATGCATTATACTGTGAAAGCATCCGATGTAACAGGATTGATCTGTAATTGTTTCACTGAATTTCAAGCTCAGGAGAATTGTATTAAATCAGTTGCGCTCAACCTCTGTGATGTTTAGACCTGGGCTGATAATTAGCATAGTGCCATGTGTCTCTGCACTCACCATTGTATGATGAGCCTCTGGCAGTTGGTTAATATATAAACTAACAAATGCTTATAAAACAAACAAAAGATTTTGCTTCCAATAGAGCAAAAAACTCAAAATAGTAGCAGGAGCTTAGAAAAATGTAGACTCGGTGATTAGATGTGCTGATACATTAGGATCTGTTTTGTTTTCATTATTCAATCAGAGCTTGATTCTGTTTTAGCATGCCAAGAGACCAACTGCATTCAGTGCATCCACTGTGGACCCCGAAGTGAACAGGAAGAAGGTTGAGGTTAAGTCATAATTCACTCTGTTTCTCGTGTTTTTTCTCTGTGTGAAAGGGGTGTGACATTCAAGGGGACAACTATCGGCATGGCACCACTGGAGGGGATGTGCAGCCTGGAAAACTCTGGAGGCATCAATGTGGTATGTGGAAATACATTTCTACTTTTCTCTCCTTCTTCCTCCTCTTTTTCTCTGTCTTCGCGTCATGTAATTTTTTCCTGCTCACTTCACTGTCTGTTTTTGGGCATGGAGAGTGTCCACTAAAATATCACTGACCATCTTATTTGTATTATCAGATGGTCAATGATCCAGGTTAAAAGCCCACTAATTAACAGGCTTATATAAACAGGTAAATTACAAATCCAGAGGGTTTTTTTTCTAATTTTTAGCTTTTTCATTTTCTTATAATAATTCACAGCTGACATCATTCTGCTTTCTAGCAACAGCTGAATTCAAAAGAAAAACTTGCTGTACTGCACAGATAGCGAGACAGCCGCTGCTCCTAGAGAAGCCTTTAGTATTTGACTCAAAATAAATGTTGTTGATGTACCCCACATATTATTGGGATCACTGCAGTCTGAAATAATGGAATAAAAATCCCAAAAAAGTTTATTCTGTTCACCTGGACGTAGCGTTTTAAGTGGGAGAAACATTTTGTCACTCATCGAAGTGATGATAAATGAGCCGCTCAGTCTCAGCTGACTGCAGGTTTCCCTAACCTTTTAAACCATACATACTGACTGAAACTAGTACAACTGGCAAAAAATGGGCTATGAGGTCAGTTTCTTCATTAATATGAAAATTGTCATGACCATTTCCGTACCTGGATGACTGAGCATCCATTTAGACACTAGAGAAATAATTTTATTTTGTTTATCAAGCTATTGTTAATGGGACATGGACATGCCCACGAATTGAGGCATGTGTAAACCGTGTGTAAATCGTATGTGCGTGTTATGCCTGTTGATGTCTACATTATTTTCTGACATGAAATTTTGAGACAGGAGAAAGTACTGGAGATGGTTCTTTGGTATTAACGAACTGTAATATAGAAGTTTTAAAAAAATCAAGAGCTCTGTGTGTTGTGAGTCTTCTAGGCTTAGCACCCCTCTGGCCATGCTGGAAAAACACTCACTCATTTTGTTACTTTAATAAACATATAATTTAATGTATGTCAAAAGTAACAAATTCATTCTTTAAACATGTCAGTTTGAAAAGTTAACAATCAAAAAAATAATATATCACTGAAAAAGGAACACAAAGTTAGACAATCAGTCAAACAAATACAAATTTATAACCAGGAGTGTTGAGATACAACATACAAATCCACAGTTCAACTTTTAACTTAGATGCACTAAAATCATTTTAATAGACTTAACAATAACCATAATAACCTGGCCCAACCATGAAGTCAGCTTACTTTGACACACCCATATTAAATTAGTTTGAACATATTGTTGATAGACTGCATCACATAAGTGACAGCTCCTTTTGTTATTCCTCTACAGGACCACTCAGAGCTGTCCATTGGTGCTGCAGCCACCATGGCCCACGAGATTGGCCACAACTTTGGGATGAGCCATGACCATGACAGCTGCTGTGTGGAGGCCACTGCCGATCAAGGAGGCTGTGTGATGGCCGCTGCCACCGGGTTAGCCTGAGCTCTGCACAGGACTAAAGAAACATCCTAGTCACCCTCAGATGTTGTTACTAACACCTTGATTTCAACTCAAGTCAATTTTATTTATATAGCACCACAACAGCAATTCCCTCAAGCTTCCTTATAAAGACCCTACAATAATATAGTAAACATGACAAGGACGTGGCAACAACGAAAGGAAAAAACCTTTTAACAGGAAGAAATGTTTGATAGAACGAAGCAGCCATAACACACTGACACATTACATTACTTGACACATGAAAAACAGTTCTAGCTGCTGAAATACTAGCATGGCTGTTTAACAAACTATTCCCTTGATAATTTTTTGTTAGATTTTTATATTTTGCCTTTGAATTTGTTTTTCTTGTGTTGTCCTGTAAATAGGTACTACAAATCTGAATGAAGGAAAACAAGTATTTGTGTGAAAGACTTTGTTCCTTGATAAACATGATAAACAACTTGGTTCAATAAAAATTACAATATAACATACTGACATAATACAATACAATATCAGACAGAAAGCGTAGAATCAAAATATCATGTAAGCTTTTCACGGTTTACAATAAGTAGCAGTGGCTATAGTGGAGCTAAACTGAAACCTAAGGATTGCTTTCCTCCAGCACTGTCTAAGACAGGGGTCTCAAACCCACGGCCCGGGGACCATTTGCAGCCCACGTCACCCCTACTTGCAGCCCGCATATTGAGGTGAAGAAATATATATATAAATATATTATTCAAAAAAAA